GGGGGCGGCCAGGCAGTAGCTGTGTGTGCCCCACTCACTCGCACCAGCGTGGCAGAGCCGGGGAGCCCACGTCTCTGAGCCCCGCCGACACGGCCCGTGTGAGCAGGGACGGTGAGCCAGCTCGGCAGCCTGGCAGGAGGCCGAAAGCCCAGCCTCCAGTCCTCATCCTTCCTGCCCGCCGGCCCCGCCCCAGCCCGAGTTTGTGTCACTGAAGTGACTGGAGCCCTAGCGGCCGATCTCTCGGTTTTTCCTTCCCACTCTTCCCATGGTCGTTTCTGCAGTTAGTTCCTTTGCCATCCTGAAATAGTAATTTCATAGTGAGACAGGGTCTCACTATGTAGCTCAGGCTGGCTTTGAACTCACAGCGATCCTCCTGCATCAGCCTCCCGAGTCCTGGGATTACAGACACACTCCACCACACCTGGCGACTCCTTTTTCTTTTTTTTCAAAGTTCTGTGGGTTGGTTTTTGTTTTGTTTTGTTTTGCTATGGATATAGTCCACTTCTGTTGCTTTCACTTTCTGTAGCTTTATAGCCTACAAAGTTATACTGCTACAGTTTACTTGTTATTTGTGATTTCATGGTACAAAGTAAGTCAGTGAGCAGAAAATGGTACCTATTTCCATTTCGGTGCCCTAATACAATTCCTGGGGTGATAGCTGTTTCCTTGTTTGGCTTTTCTGGTGCTGAGGAAAGCTCCAAGGGTGCCTGCACTAAGTTACATCCCTGGCTGCTTCTGTACTTTTTAATTTTGAGAGAGGTTCTCACCAAATTGCCAGGGCTGGTCACACCTGTGATGCCAGGCCCAGCGGCAGAGACCTGTAATCCAATGATAGGGAAGGCTGAGGCAGGAGAAAACACCTGAGAGGTCAGTCTGGGCAACTTGGTGAGACCCTGTCTCAAAATGAAATAAAAGATGCTCAGATGCAGCTCAGTAGCAGAGCACTTGGCCTGGGCTCAGTCCCAGGGGCAACATTTTTTTTTTTTAAAGTGCGATTCACGAAAACTTACTCGGCTGTCCTGAGTGTGTGGAAGTGTGAAATGCCACCCGCCATGCCCAGCGGTTATCAGGGCCCAGCAGGTGGCCGGCCGGGGGCAGCCTCCTCGGCCGTCCCTGATCTTACAGCAGCGTCTGCAGGGCCAGCAGCCGCCCCAGGCCCCACGAGGCTCAGCGCCCACTCAGCACAGCCGGAGCTCGGCTCCGGGCAGCGGCCAGGCCTCCTCCCTCCCGCCTCCAAGCGGGCACTTCCGCCCACGGTGCGTCATGGCCAGCGGCTAAAGAGCCAGGGAGACGGCACCCGCAGCAGATGACACACGAAAACCCTGGAAACCCGCGCCCACGGGCGCCCCAGCCCTGCCTCAGTGCAGGCGGAGCGGATGCAAGGGCCGCCCGCGTCCTCACGGTGGTCGCGGCGACGCTGGCTTCAATGGCCCACCAGCCCCGCAGTGCCGACTTCTGACGGGTACGAAGCGTCACCGTGTGTGGCCGGGTGCGGGTGAGCGTCCGAACTTCAGCTGCGGTGTGGATCGGACGTTCTCGTGGCCGGTGCACTCCGACCGACGCGCCTGTGGAGGACGCCCGGGCGACTCTTCGGAGGAGCAGTTGTGTCCATTCTGGCCGGGCCTGACCCTGTTTCCGTGTACTGGTAAGTGCAGAGCGGGCCGGGGCTCTTCCTTATCCCTTCCACTGCCTGAAGCGAGGCATATCGGGGCAGCCCAGGTGCTGCTGTGTGGTCTCTGAGGACGGCAGGCGTGCTTCCCCGGACCCCCACCTGTTGTTCCCTTGTGTGAGCCGGGATGAGGCGGGATGTGTGAGCCATGCTCCACGCTGTCGGCTGGGATCGAGCCTCGAGATAGAGGCTATGACTTCCTGGGGCTTGAAAGATTACACGTCAGAGCTGAAACACCGCCCCAAAACATTAGATTCTATCAACTGTGTCATGCAGATCGCTCTTTCTGCAGATCCTTCTCTGCATTTGCAGAGGTGATTTCAGCCCTCCTACCTAGCCCAGCTCAGGGCACTCAGCTACTTCCCGCCATTCTCACAGTCACTCACCCTCACCACTCCCTGCTTCATGAATGAATAAAACCCGGGTTTGGCCCTGGGTGGAGGGCTTAGGTCCAGATGGCCATCACTGTGGGTGGACGTAGGACCCCTTGGCTCCCCATAACTACAAATATGCCTGAGTGTCTTTACTGTCCCCGTGGGTTGCACTGGACGCGGTAGTATGGAATTAACTCGCTAGGATTCCAGTAACTTTTCCATGGGATTACAAATTTAAACTTCCTGGGCCGCGAGGAGGAAGAGGACCGGGAAGGGCTCCCTGTGGTTCTGTTTCTTTGCGGAGAGTCTCAGCGTGTTGTGTGAGGTGGCCGTGGACTTGTGGGCTCCAGAGATTCTCCTGCTTCAGCCTCTGAGCGCCGGGCCCACGGCCAAGTGCGCCCACCCTGGCTGTTCTTCTTTACGGTTTAAAATCCAAGGAATGCAGCTGGCCGGCGGGTTCTGCGCGGACGGTGGACGTTGTCTGCCACTGAAGGAATCAGTGTGTCAGAAGCTGGCTCCCCACAGGCTGAGACCAGGATTCCACAGCAGTGCCTGCGACGGGGATGAGGACGGACGGGACAGTCAGGAACTGAGGCCGAACAAACGCTTGTTTTTGGAGAGGGAGTTTTGCTCTGTTGCCCTCAAACTGTGATCCTCCTGCCTCGGCCTCCCCGGTACTTGGGATTACAGGGCTGTGCTGACTGGGTGGCTGTAGCTGCACTTGGCAGCCTGGTCGCCTCTGCACTGTGTGAGGTCTGGCTTCGCTGCAGGGCGCAGACCCAGGCCTGCGTGGCGGCAGCCCTCGCTGTCCACCACGCACCACGGCCTTGCACCGGGGCCGCTAAGCCTGGAGGCGTCACCCGGGCCAGCACTGCCTGTCCCTGGGGCTGGGCCACCTGCTCTCACTAACTGCTTGACTGACAGACGTCTCTGCACGTGGTCTCAGCCTGCACCCTGCACACCTCCACCGCCCCTGGATCCCATGGGCTCCCTGATCCCCGCCGACGGAAGCGAATGTGAAGGCTGTTTCCAGGAACTAAGGTGCAGACCCTGCTGCCTCAGCGAGAGCACTGCAAGTCCCCCGTGCGGGCCCACGGCACCCGGCACCGGCCCCGAGGCTGCGGAGATGCTGGTAAGTTGGCCACCAGGCCCCAGCAGGGTTCAAGGGACAGCAGGGCCACACGTGGCCAGCCCAGTGTCTGCAGGGACAGCGGGTCTCGCTCTCCACGTAGTTGGTGGAAGTAAGGCCACAGACGCACGAAGCTCCATTTCGGCAGCCAGAGGCCTGATGTCTTTACCTGTCCTCAGAGGTCCGCTACTCAGCCCTCGGCACTCATGGGTGTAGCCATTTTTTTCCATCCAAAGAACAAGGATGTAACTCAGACAAACTTATTGTAAATAAGCCTCAGAATCAGAACGGGGTTGCTAAGTGTCACTGTGCCCTGACGGAGTTACCAACACCCGCTGTGCGTCCGACTTCAAACCATGAAGCAGAAGCACAGCACGCGCCAGTGCTCACAGAACCCGTCCAGACTCGCTCTCGGGCACGGTGAGTGCGCGGCTGGCTCCCCGTTACTTGAGTGTCACTGTGATCACCGTGAAGACACGCGACTCGTGAGGAAAAGAAAAGCTGACGGCTGGTCAAGGAAACGACAAACTTTAAGTTGAAAATTCATGAACACACATTTATTCAGGAAACACGACTGCCAGAGTCCCGGACATTTCCGTATCGTTCCACACCGTAAAGCAGTCAGACAGACGGCCAGCGCCTCCAGCGCGGCATGTGAGGTCCTTCCCGCTAAGTCGGAGCCGCAGCCTGTGAAACGCTACGATGTCTATTTGAATCGTCAACCAAGTACTCGAGCCAAACTAGACTTGAGCAAAAATCCCTAAAAAACCATACAAGGGCAGCAGTGACGTTTTCAAAAACGCACCTGGATCAAACCGTGAAGAACAAGGCCCGTGCCCTCAGATCGCAGTGATGGACGAAGCGGCCCCACGAAGACCGCAGGTTGCAGCTCGTCCGCAATGGCAAAGCATGCTTTTCAACTAGTAAGCTGTTTATGTGTCAATCGTAAAGGCAAAGGGGGCAGGTGAAACGTCAGTAATGCATACTTAAGCTACCGGCAGGTTTCAGTTGTTTTTAAAAAAAGGTACACTTATTATTTTCCAAATGAGGACCACCAGGTACCTTTTATTCCTCAAGAAATTTCTAACAAATACGACCCATCAAGTAGCTGCAGAATGATTCTCTTCTGATCCTCGCAAAACAGAGTCCAGTGCAGTGCGATCATCACACAGAAGGACCAGCAGTTAGTTCTCAGCCCTGGGTGTCTGTGAGGACCATCTTTTCAAAAGGCAGTAAGTCTAATTCAGCTGTTACATGGGAGGAGATGCAAGGATGGAAATGCTTCCCGCTCTGCAGGGCGGTGTAATGCAGAGCCAGGCTCAGAACCACCGCGCACCTCATTCTGAAATAGGAAGAAAATACCTGCGAAGCTGCGGGGGAGGGGCGGTTAGTGGATATGTGTAATTTACAAAGCAGACACTGTCTACTTACTCCGCGCCCGGCTTTATCTACGAACCGCCCATTTATGAGGTGAGAATGCCCTCGCCTGCTCTTGTACCCAGCTGCTGTTGCGCACCTTGCGCTGAACGGGTTTTCCCGCCAAGACTCCCAGTTCTGGGGCGCACTGCAGACGGCACTGCGACACCCGAACAGCTGCTGCTGCTCAGGCTCCACGGCACCACGCGCAACTACTGCACCGGGCGCCTTTCGGCGACACTTATTTTAGGAATTATAAACAGGTGCCAACCCACGGAGAACAGATTGTGGATTACTGCAGGAAAAAAATAACTGACTCAACATACTGAGTTTCCACACCAAAAAGACCGAACCTGGCTGCAAGTACTCAAACGGCTGAGACACTAAACCAGGAAGCTATCTCTTGCAGTGAAATGTTGCTACGTCTTTAAAAGCTACGGCAGCCGCAGCTGGACTAAAGTTAGACTTCTTGGGCTCGCTTCCCCCGGAGGCAAGAACACAAGCATAACAATAAATAGTTTTTATATGCACCGATACCTCTCTTTAATATATGCAGCTCTACAACAAATACCTCGAGAACTTTACAATTAAATTAAGCCCATAACTCTTCTATACTACTTTGGTCTCAACATCTGAAAAGCACATCAATTAATTTTGAAGATATACAGTTGAACAACACGACCCTATCAATGACAAGCACATTTCATAGCAGACTAAAGACATTCAGCCATGCAATCCAGTGTTCAATACCTAAATGATAAATAACAATGCTTTTATTCCAAAGAATCTCTGAGAACTGGAATAACCATTTAAGACTCAGTGCTCACAAACATGCAGAAAAAGGTACACATTTCTTTCTGAAGGAATGTTACAGAATGCCCATTTTTTCTTCTTTTCAACACAGAATGGGTAATTATGCCGAAGTCTTTGTTTTTCAATCCATCTTCGCTTCAGCATCGGTCATCTCACGGTGTTTCACAGTACAGGAACTCCCGCCAGCCGTGAGTGCAAATGAGCTTCCCCTCTCATTTCCGCTCGCCCGAGCAGCTGTTTTCAGTAGCACAGCGACATCCAGTGGACAGGGCACAGACGGCACCTTCTGCGAGCCCGCACCGGGCGAGTCGGTCCGCGCGCTCACGCCCTGGGCAGTCTGCAGAGGTTCGTGTCCCTCCTCTTCCCGCCTAAGTTCTCTCTGAGCTCACAGGGACCTGGAGCCCGAGCGGGAGAGGCTGGAGGCGGCCGTTTCTTCTTTGCCCCTGCCCTGCCCCAAACTGCCCGGCTCACGTCCAGGCAAGGAGGCATCACACACGAGAGAGGTCTAGAGAACATCGACCAGCATCAAAATACTTGCACGGGATGAAATCCGAAACCGTCTTGCATTTTTAATTTACAGTGTTGAATATAAATAGGGACATCATCAAGAATGCTGAGAATCACATCCTCTGGCCTCACTGCTCAATTATGAAAGAATACATATTTTAGCAATGATTGCTTCAGTGTTTAAAAACTTACTCTTACAAATCAGTATAAATGAACGTCTGTTACACGTTATGTTTAAATAAAAGTAAAAAACCTCCATGTGCTGAGCTTGCTTCCGTGGGTTGTACGGATCATGTGTGTATTCAAAGTACAAAATGCAACAGTGATGTTAGCGCCTACGGGGTAATGACCCGCTACTGGGGGGACTACCAGGTGTATTTCTTGGAAAACTGTAAAGAAATTTCATAGGTTAAAAAAAAATACTGAAAAGAAAAAAGAAAAAAAAGAATTGGAAAACTGTTACTTTTAATAAGTAGCCAAATGAGAACTCTTTTCTTAAAAAAAGATTAAGAATGTAAAAGTACATCTTAATATTAAAAAAGCATTTTTAAAAATCTATAACAACTTTATGACAAAAATCTGCATTTGAAAAAGGCCTGTAAAAACAGCAGGACGGAACTGTCCTCGTCACCTTTGACTTTTTCTTGTCACAAAAAAGCGTAAGCATCTCTGGACCCACACGGGAGGTGAAAACAGGCGTTTATAAAATGCAAGGGCTGCGCGGGAGTCTGCCTGCCGCTCACCACCGCTGGCCGGCGGCCACCGGGAGGGCTCGGGCACAGCTCCTGCTGTGGGGTAGAGGGAGCGGGCTGCGGCGACTAGGTCTGCTGCCTGCGCTTGGCCGAGCGCATCTTCTCGAAGCGCGACTCCATCTCCTCCAGGACCTTGGGCGTGTAGCGCACGACCAGCTTCACCTTGCCCTGGGCGGCCTTCAGCAGCTCCACGGCCTTCTCGTGGTGCTCGCCTTCCACGCTCTGCGAGAAATGCACAGGCGACAGCGCTGAGCTCGGGAGGAGCTCGAGATGCAGACGCGTGACCTCACGTCCACGCGGAGAAAGGACCCTGCGTTTGTTTCAACCAGTGTGAAAACCCACGCTGGAGCACGTCCTGTTTATCACAGTCCAGGACTTGGCTGGTAAGGTCCAAGTACGGGCATCAGTACACTCGGCCCACTGCTCCCTGCCCCGTGCTAGAGGCGCTTCAGGCCGCTGCCACTGCTCACACGTCAGTGAGGGTGCGACTGCATTCCATGGCTGGCTGCAGCTTACTCGGGTCACAGAAATCACCCTGAGCGCTACCACGTCAACTCTGAGAGGCACGGCCCAGCGTAAGCGCTTTGAAAAGACCGCCGGCTGGCAGGAGCTCAGGGTGCAGCACTCGAGTCTGCTGGCACCACAGGCCTTGGGCTCAGCTCCCAGCAGGAGGAGCCGTACACCCCCGAGGCCTCCCTGGCGTCCTTCCCTCCATGTTCCCTTCCTCTAACTCAAGCACACCCCCCCGCGGCCCCCACGCACCACTGCAGTGGAAGACTCACCACGCCGTTCACAGAAAGCAGCTGGTCTCCGCGCTTGAGGCCCCCGTGCCGGTCAGCGATCCCGCCGGGGATTATTCGGGAGATGTAGATGGGCGAGTTCTGCTCCTTGCCCCCCATGATGTTGAAGCCGAGCCCCTCCTCTGTCTTGGGCAGCTCCACAACGCGGGGGTGGGAGTGCCCCTCGCTGGCTGCAAACGCAGCCACGGTGGCCTGGGAGAAAGCTCACAGGGTTAATCACAGCCCCTGCCACTGGAGTTCTTCCATCTTCTTACAAATACTTTACTTGCTAATAACTTACGCTAGTATGACTCATTTATTACTACCACATTTTCTAAATAATAGGACACACACCGAGCTGAGCCTGAGTGTCCACTTCTCTAGGAGTGTGCAAGCAGGACACACACTGAGCTCGTGTCCACGTCGACCTCTGGAGGAGCGTGCAAACACGCCCGTCCAGCCCAGAGAGGCGGCTCCCGGCTCACACTGCACCCTCTGCAGAGGCGGCGGGACGGACAGTACCGGGAGCACTCTGGCCTCACCAGTCTTCACATCCAAGGCCAGTAGCCAATCTCGACGCCTCCTCACCAACCACAAAACCAGGGACACTCTAGACAGACAGTGTGGATGGTGTAGGTAGGACACTTATAATGCAGGATCTGGTGAAGACACTTTCAATTCCTTAGCTGCACTGCATGAGGAAATATACAAAGCCAATAAAAAAGTCCTATTCCCACAAATGTAGGAGACTGCGAAAGAAACCGTATGCCAGTTTTCAAAATACATTTATTATGCATCTAATAACTGCATATTTCAAGCCTCTTGTTTATGAAGAGTTCTCGCTACTGGAAACGAAAAGCTTTACCTTGGCGGTTGCATTGGCTCTGACTTCGGGACTGCTGCTGATATCCACTGTCTCGTAGACGTGCTCGTATACCTGCAAACCAAAGGGCCCACCACACTTCAGATTCTGGGACTAAGGAGTCTAGGTTCTCTGGAACGTTAGTGAGTGCGCTGAAATTTTAAGCAAAGTTATGCACCTTGGTAAAACTTTTTTCTTTTACCTCTTGCTATTAATCTTTGCTTTGCAAAAATTACTAATATTTAATAAAAATTTAATTAAAACACCAAACCTTTCTGCAACCTTTTCTATTAAAAGTTCCAAAACATGAGAGAAGCACAGTTTAACGTCTTTGTGAAGTTTGTTTCTTAGGACATTCTGAATCCCAGCGTGGGCATCTGACCCCAGGACCCTGACCAACCCGCCCTCCTGGGGACGGCATCGCGCCCCTCGTCACCTCTCGCACGGCGTTGCAGAACTCGCTCTGCAGCACTCTCTGCAGCGCCTGCAGCTTCTGCGGCGGTACCTCCCCGCTCCGCTGCAGTTTCTCCAGCAGCTCGATCGCTCTGCAGATATCTGGAGACCAACAAACGAGATGGACTGAGGGGGTCTGCTCCGAGGTGCCTCCTGGTGCTGAGGGGCCGCTGCAGCCTTCAGGGCTCACTCCCAAGGACAAACAGGATGCAGGGGACAGAGGGGAAAGATCAGTGCACGTGTGTGTGCGTGCGAGTGCGCGAGGAACGGGACAGCAGAATCGCAGCACACTGAATCTTACAGATGAGAAAAAATGCTGGTCGTACACAAGTACAGGCTTCAAAAAACAACTGGAGAGCCACATGCAAACTGACTCTCAGACACCTAATGTCACAGGAGAGGACGGGGGCTCAAGTGTGACACAAAGCAAGTTGTACTGCATCAGAAAAGCTAGCAGTATCTAAGCAACTATTAGTCAATAAACATTTACTTGATGAATGTAATAGGCACCACAGCCTGAGTGCTGCAAGAGACTGTGTTCGAGGGAGGTCACCATTAATTTCCCATTCATTTCCCGAAGGAAAATAGGAAAATGAAAGGAAAATGTGGTACGTGTGCAGGTAGGAATCATTCAACGACAGGGGCAGCCAGTGGCCAGGACACACTTAGTAAAAGTACAAATGAATGAAATCAGCTGGCCTGTTTTCAGCTTCGGATTGCTAACAGTGTTTTAATTCAGACCAGCTCAATCAAATACCTGTTTAGAAGTTAGAAAATGCAAACAATTAGCTGTGTCAGCCCTGGGTGAGCCGCTTCACCTCCTGTCTCTTCCTCTCACTGCTGAGTGGAAACAACTGCTTTCCCATCGAGAGCTGCTGGGTGAGTGAGGCAGGTAGGCACCACACGGAAAGGGGCCCGGCAAGCGGGCAGCGTTACGTCACACGGGCCACTGATCCTAAACCACGACACGGGGCCACGCACACTCACACCAATACGTCAAGCATGGTACACAAGTGTCACTGGAAGCGAGAGGGTGTGTTCTAGAAATTAAGCAGCACGGAAGACTCCGTCATGCTACCACACTATTCGTGAGTATCTCATAACTGCTTTGGTACCACAGGGTGCTTAGCACATCTACTATTCTATTCCTTAACTTCTGAATTGTTAATTGAACCTTATTTATTTATTGGAAGGTGTACAATCAGACCTTCCAGGTGTACATTGGAAGGTGTACCTACATGTTATAATAAACTCTCAAAGCAGCACGAAGTTTTTTCAATTTCAGGTAATAAAAGCTTACAGTGAATGTTAATCAAATGCAATGGAAACAGACCTTTCACATTCTGATCTCCCATAAGCAAAATGGCTGGCAGATGGGTCCACCATTTATCTTTAAGTCGCAATGTGAAAGCCATATAAAAATATTTGATCAGCAGAATCAGGGGGTTGGGGTGTGGCCCAGTGGCAAAGAACTTGCTTAGCATGCGTGAGGCCCTGGACTTGATCCTCAGCATCTCTAAATAAATAAATAAATAAATAAGGTTCAATTAACAAAAGATGAAAAAACTAAAATACTCTTTACCAAATCTAAACTGTACCCAATATATACTGAAACTGTGTTCCAATGAATAATATTTTGATGATTTAAGATCTTGTTGAATATGCACTTATTCTGTCCTATAGGATTGGTGGGCAATACCTGTGCTTTGTTAGTGAGCACTTTACTGTGTAGGATTGCTGGGAGTACTTGTTAAAGGAGTCTGTTAGGGTCCTGAGTAACAATCAGACCTGATGCCATTGGACCTTCCTATCCTGCTACATGGCAGTCACTAGTCACTCACCTGAGTATTTTTTAGAGAGAAAAAATTTCTCTTTCTAGAAAGAGTGCTGCAGTGGCAAAACAAAGCCATGGCTCTCAAAGCTAAGCGCCACAGGGTAGGATCCTATAGCTCAGGCTTCAAAGAAAAAACACCCACTCCTGTTCACACCCATCAACACCCAGTCTGAGAAGGAAGATGTCACAGTCTTAAGCCTAACTTAGCAAGTCTCCCCAGGCAGCTTCTCTTCTGCCATAAAATGATGCCTTCATCGGTGACCTGGTGGGCTGCAGAGAAACAATCTGTTATAAAAAACGTTTCCAAATGGTGAGCACCATTAGGAGCATGCTAACAATCCTAAATGCACATCTGTCTGTGGAAAGGTAGGAGGAGAGAGGCTATGTACAGTAATTTCAAAAATGCATTTCCTTAAGGATAGTAACATTCAGACTGTAACTGCACATGTTAATATGTGAAGATAAAACTTCAATTTCTGTGCTCACCTTTGTTTACCAACAGGGCTGAAAATGTTTACTTGGTACCTGTTGACTACCACCAAGGACTGCTAATGCTGGTGTCAAAAGTATGCTTTAATTGTTTAAAATTACGGTCCTGGGGAGAACAGAGTGGAACGCTGGACTGTCACAAGGAGCCTGGGAGGGGCAGCTCTAGGTATTTGCACAGGCTTCTTACTATCTATACACAAGTTTCGTTTTCCTGGACCATCTGGCTCCAGGAAGCAATCCACCAACCACAGTCTACAACAGTAGGATTTGTAAAGAGGTGTCAACGCATCCGCAGGTGTTCACAATCCGCCACTATCCCCGTTGGTTATGTAACCTCCCCTTCAGGATCAGGTCAGTGGGATCGTTTATAAAGCGCCCACTCCATTCCCTGGAGCGGCACCGAAGCTAGGAATCACCTCCAGCATTTCAAATGCAGGCGGGTGGCGGGGAAGCCCCGCAGCGATTGTGCTCGGAGGGCGCAGCAGGGCAGCTGCCGGGCCCCGGGGGTGCGCGGGCCCAGACGCTCCGCGAGATCGGGTACACGGCAGGGTGACCACGTCTGCTCTCTGGGCTCGCGTCCCCCCGGGAAGAGGCTGTCCCTGACATCACCCCTCAGGGCAGTCATCGCGCGCGATCGCAAGCGGGTTCGGCTCTCCGCGGAAGCCCCGCCGGCAAGCGCCCTGCCCGGGCCCCGACGGCCGGCTGCGGCGCAACGACAGGCTGGCTCGGGGCTCGGAGCCTGGCGGTCGCCTCTCCTCCGCTTTTCTCCTCGCCGGCGACCCGGCCCTTTCCCGCTTAGGTGCCGGCCCGGCCGCACTCACCCCTCTCCAGCCGGACAGGTTCTCCCAGGGCCGCCATCTTCCCCCTCCGCGACCGAGGTCCACCGGAAATGACGCCTGGGCGGCGGCGGGGAGGGACCTGGCAGAGACAGGAAGTGCGTGGGCCGAAGTGTCGCGAGAGTTCAGGCGGGTGCGCGAGACTCTGCTGATGTCAGGTTCCGGTTCCGGTTCCGGCTTCTATGGTTTTTAAAAGGATATTTTCCACCAATCCTAGTCACTGCCTAGGCCTGTGCGCCACAGCCTACGGGATGGAACCCTTTGCTTACTGCAGGAGAGTTAGATAGCTTGACCTTTGGCAGCTGTATGACCCTAGTCTCCTTACTAAACCTCCCTTGGCTTCAGTTTCCCTGTCTGTACCGCAAGAAGAGGTATCTCTGAGGTCCTTTAAATTATTATTACTTTGCAGGTAATGGGGATTGAACTCAGGCCCCTCACACTGAGCTACATCCTCAGGCCTTGTTTATTTTTTAAATTTTGAGACAGGGTCGCTCCAAGTTGTCCCAGCTGGGTTCAAACTTGTGATTCCCCTGCCTCGGCCTTGTGGAGTGCCGGATCCTGTAAATTTTTAAACTCTAGGGTCAGGTGAGAGTTAAGTGTGGGAATGACACTCGGCAAATACTATTTTTAGGTTTCTTCCCCACATCTGGAGTAGGTGTGGAAAGTACAAGGAGCGTGAAACATAGCTAGGTGGGGGAGAGAAGAAAGTGCTTTGGTGCATCACAAATCTTTGGTGCTCAAATTTGTAGTTTTCCTGCCTCAGCCCTGCAGAGTACTGGGATTACAGCTGTGTGCCACCAACCCATGCTAGAATGGGGATTGAACCCAGGGGCATTCTACCAGGAGTTATACCCACAGCCCTCTTTATTTCTTACTTGGAGATGGGCTTGTCCTGGAGGGACTTGAACTTGTGATCTTCCTCCCTCAGCTTTCCTCAGTGCTGGGATAAAATGCCCTTTTTAATCCCTCATTCTCCAAATGTTTTACGTACTCACTTGAACTCACTTTTTGGGTTTCTGATGAAAACCTTTGCTTTCTCTGTTTCCCTTTTTTCTCTAATGGTCCTGATTCCCTGCAAAGGTAGTCAGGACATTGTTGTCATTTGTCCTGCTACATCTGTGTTCACTAAATGCTTATTAAATATCTGCCAGACATTTTGCTAGAAATACAACACTGAGCAAGATGAATGCAGACATTGTCCTTATTTCTTCAAGTATTTCCCTTCCTGGTCTTGCTCCTTTCCTTGGCTGACTAGTGGAGTTGTGTACACGTGTATTCACCCACATGACATTTTCTTGCAGCTTGCTTTTACTCTATTTTATTTTTTTTCAAGTTTTTCATTGTATTTTCTTGTGGATAATACTTGTTGCTACACCTTTATGTTCACTAATTTGACTTTTCAATATCAGATAGTCTCTTACTCCCTTGCAGTTCATCTCAGACCTTAAAATTTGATTTCTACTAGTTTAGTTTAGGGGTGTGTGTGTGTGTGTGTGTGTGTGTGTTTTACATTTTCCATGTCTCAACATCCTCTTTCCTACAGTTAAACATAGAATAAAATGTAGTAATTTTAATGTCCTTGTGTGCTAGTTCTATCATTTATACTATTGCTGGCATTTTCTGTATGACTGATTTATCTCTTCATTATGCCTCACAATTTCCTGCTTCTTGCATACCTAATTTTTCAAAAATAGGCTGCTAGTCATTGTGAAATTTACTCACTTGCAAACAATTTTGTCATTTTGAGGCTTGCTTTTAATCTTTGTTAGGCGGAACCAATCCAACATTTTGTGTAGGATTAAATGAATCCCAGTACTACGGCAGCACAGTACTCTCTTAAATTCTTTACCCAGTGCCCCTAGTAAAATATGTGGCTTTTCCATTCAAGGAGAAATAGGAAATGTTCCTATAAATTGGGATTATGGATTTTTAAAATTTCCTCCTTTGGAATAACCTCCTTCATGTCTTTCCTGGTTACCTCACACATAATCATGAAATTTCAGAGTTCCAGTGATAAATAAAAGATCCTGAAGTTTGCCAGAGAGAGTGATAGGGTGTGTTCTGAAGACTGGAGATCAGAATTCAATGTGATTTCTCACCAGCACTGGAAGCTGGGACAGAGATACTACATTTGTAGGAAAAATGATTTCCAGAGCAGAATTTTATACCCAACTGTATTATCCTCCTAGGACTGCCTTAAGAAACTATGAATTTAAACAATGCCAGGTATTTATTGTCTCTCATTTCTGAAACTTAGGAATCAGAAATCAAGACACCAACACCCTCCTCTGAAACTGTGAGTCCCAGGCTGAGTCCAAAGGCCTGAGAACTGAAGCACTGAGGTCCAAGCACTGAGGGCAAAAGACAGCTGCCCCAGCTTCACCAGGAACAGTGAAGTCCACTTTCTGTGCTTTTTGCTCTACCCAGGCCCTCCCTGGTTGTGTCAGATGGTGCCTGCCCAATCTTCTTTTGACTCAGTTCACACACTCAGGTGATAATCTGCTCTAGAAACATTGTTATGGACCCACTCAGAAACAATTTTTACCAGCTTAGCATCCCTTAGCCTGGTCAAGGTGACCTTTAAAATTCACCACAGCATTCATGAGGGGAAGCCATATCACAGACCTGAGGAGCAACTTGTCCACCTTACAGCATGACAAGTGTCACCAGGGAAAAAATGAAAATTCCCATTCATCATGAAATGACAATTTCATGGCACCTCAATACCTTTTAGTGGAGAGTCTGGAAACTCATAGCAAGCTAAGCAAATGGAAGGAAATGAAACAATCACTGGAAAAAGCAAAAAGTGCTATGAGGATATAAATGGGTCAGTTGTATACAACATAATTGGGTTTTCTTGGCTATAAACCAAACAGCATTTGTAACACTGACTTTTTAAAAAGATATATTTTATTAAAGTGAAAATTAGATAGCAAACAGTAATCAGAATGCTAAATAAGATAACATTTATTGTACCTTATTTTGGAATCTTTATATTAGCTTCATGTTTTCCACTAGAACTATTTGCTCTTGGCTGAGGGTTTTACTGAAGAGAACCTGACTGTAAATGCCCTGTTTAAAAAGCACAGATGAGTTTGAAGGGTTCAGCGATTAGGTAATTTTTTGACATTAGATTTGTGAATCTGTGGGGCTGGGTGTCTGAGTCTCACTGAGCTGTAGTCACTCTGTCCCCTGATCGGATACCCAGCCCTGGCTTGGTCAGCTCTGCCAGAGGGAGTGGGGTGATGGCTAACCCCGGACACAGACAGGGCTGGGCATGTGGCACTGCACTGGGCATGCCTAGTGCCACAGATCACATGCGTGTCTGGGAGACACATTCCAGCCTCACAGGGGAAGCTCTGGACTGCATGTCAGGCTCCGGCTTCTGAGCACAGCTGGGCTACCGAGTGCCCTTGAGTGAGCTACATTCACACACTGGGCCTGCCTCCTCCTGTGTCGAGAACACTGAGTGGGATCTGTCTGCATGTGGAAATCACTTGACTACATGTCCTTGTATAGGCAGCAATGGAAGAATTTACTTCATTACAGGTTCCTTCGAACTTTGTGGTTTTACTAAATCAAACTTTGGTAAAAGTTTCTGGGAATCTTCCTCTTCCTGCTCCTCCCCCTCTCCCCCCTCCTCCCCTCCTTTCCCCTTCCCATTCCTCTCCTCATCTTCCCCCTCCTGCTCTTCCCCTTCCTCCTCCTCCACCTCCTCCCTTTCTCCTTCCTCTTCCTCTTATTCTTCTTTCCCCTCCTCCCCCTCCTCCTCCATCCTCCTCCACCACCTCACCCCCTTTTTCTCTTCCTCTCTCCTTCTCTTCCCCTCTCCCTCTCTTTTATCTCTCTGGTGCTGGGGATTGAATCCAGTCTTTGTTCATGGTAAGCATGGCAGAATCCACACTTCAAACTCTTCAGTGATTCTAACCCAGCCTGTTTTGAGGGTCCAGAAGGTTATTGTTCAGGTCTTCTCCATCTAAAATTCTGTTTCTTTACAAAGTTGCAGAGGCAAATTTTTGAATTACTTTCTATTATAAAAGAAGGCAGTGCTTTTGAGCCACCTGTCATCCCAGCAGCTGGGTGGCTGAGGCAGGAGGACAGTGAATTTGAGGCCAACCTGGGTTATAGAGTGGAACTCTGATCCGGAGTGGTGTTTCACACCTGTACTCCCAGAACTCAGGAGGCTGAGGCAGGAGGATCACTGGGGGTTCAAGGACAGGCTGGGCTGCACAGTGAGTTCAAGGCCAACGTGTACTACATAGGGAGACCTCATCTCAAACAAACAAACAAACAAACAAACAAACAAAATGAGACTCTATCTCAAAGCAAGACAAATAAAATAACAAGGGCAATAGTCCTAGCTGATTTTAAAATTAATTTCAAATAATTTGAGGCATGCTAAAGGAACAGAAAAACATCAGAAAGTGCTTCCAAGAGGGGTAAATGTGATCCACAGTATTCAAAATAGGTAAAATGGGGAGCTGTCATGGAAAGAAAGAGCCCCCAAATGTTCCTCTAAAATCGGTAAATACTAGCTGCGTTAGGAGAGGCCTGGAGTCCAATCCCTTTGCTGTGCAGAGGAGAAGCTAACGAGGCTCCCGGGGCTCCTGGGGCGACTCTGAGTGGTGTTTTCCTACCTCTGCCAGGTCACCCCACCCCACCCCCAGGCGCTGCTGTCCTGTGGAAGAGGCATCCACCAGGACTGCAGCCTATGACTTCCGGCCCTGGGCACCAACAGGATTTTACAGTTAGAATAGGAAGTCTGGGCCTAGACAAATCCCAGTGAAAGCAGCACTACTCAGAGTTAGTGTTTGTATAACAAGTAAGGGTCCTAAGTAGGCTGCCAGGGTCGAAGAACTGCAAACAGAATGTGTCAGTAAGGAGGCACAGGGTGGTGGGGTAATCTGGGGGTAGGAGGCTATCTTAGATCGCTGGGAAAGCGGAAAGTAACACCAGCGAGTGAGGCGCTCCGAGGGGAATGCTGGTCTACAGCCTGCAGAACCATACACGAACAAGCCCTACTGTATGAAATAGGAAACAGGTACGGAAAAGAGACACAGC